GCAAGGCCCACCCTTAGAGAGCTATTCGGGTGGGAAATGCCAAAAGGGTGGTCCTTTCCAGGTGAAAGAGGTCCATTTGCAAGTAAAATGGGGTTGCCCAACCTTGCTGTTTTGGGAGAAGGAAAAAAAAGTAAATAAAGCAGATTTGTGTTCTCTTTACAGTTTCAGCCGGGGTGTGGTGGCGCACACCTGTTATCCCAGCACTCGGGAGGCTGAGGCAGGAGGACCACTGTAAGTTCGAGACCAGCCTGGGCTACACAGTGAGTTCCAGGTCAGTCTCAACTACATAGTGAGACCCTGTCTCAAAAAAAAAAAAAAAAAAAAAAAAAAAGTAGTTTCTTGGGCTGGAGATTTAGCTCAAAGGCACCATGCTTGCCACGCAAGGTCCAGAGTTCAATCCCTGGTACCAAAAGAAAAACAACAAAAAATAAACAGAACAAAGCTTTTGTACATGGGGAGGGGAGCGGGTGGGAAGGAGGGTCAGGATAAAAAAATAAAGTACAGTTTCTTTTTAAAGTACAATTTTTAAAGTTTTGATTTCTTTGTCTCCTTCCTACCTAGCTGTATTTCTTCTATTCTACCGCAGGGTTACAGGTGTGCACCCTCATGCCCAGCAGGCCCAGCAGTCTTTAACAAATACCTCCCAGGGAGTTTGCTTGGCTGGATCAGGTAGTTGTGGAAGGGATCACAGAAGGTGTCCTGGGGGCTGTGGCTTTTGCCTAGGTCCTTGGAGGGCCTGGGTTTCATCCCCAGCCCCTCCTTCCTTTTAAAAAAATTTGAGAAAAGGTTTCACTAAATTACTAAATTACATAGGCAGGTCTAGAACTTTCTTTTGTCTTTTTCTTTCTTTTCTTTTTGGTGCTGGAGATCATACTCAGGACCCTGTACTTACAAGGCAGGTGTGATGCCACTGAGCTAAATCCCCAGCCATCTTTTTTTTTTGGAGACAGTCTCACTACGTAGTTCAGGCTGTAGCTGGGCTGCCCTCAAACTCACAGCAATCCTCCTGCCTCAGCCTCCTAAAGTCTGAGAGTACAGTTGTGCCCCACCACTCCTACCCTGGGCTGAATTTTGGTTGCTTCTGCCTTAGCTTCCTAGACTGCCAAAATTACAGGTATGCAGCACAAAGTCTGGCTAATGGTCCATATCTTATCTGAAGGGTAGGACTTTCCAGGAGAGGACCGCTAACTGACAAGGATGGAGCAAGAGGCAGTTTCCAAGAAGAGGCAAAGAAAAGGAGAAAGTGTTTAGGCCAAAAGAGCTCCAGGAGGGTAGCTTGGGGCAATCAGGAGTACAGTGAGGGCTGGGGATTTAGTTCAGTGGTTCCACCGCCTGCCTCGCAATGGCAAGGACCTGAGTTTGATCCCCGGTACCCCCCCCCCAAAAAAAAGGAGTACAGTGAGATCTGGACACACACAAAATAGAAAGTTCACTTATAAGTATTTTAAGTACATTGAGCAGGGAATAGTGCCACACACCTGTAATCCTAGCACTGTGGGAAGCTGAGGCAGGAGGATGGCAAGTTTGGGCCCAGCCTGGGCAACTTTAGTGAGATTTAGTGAGACTTGTCTTGAGACAAAAAAATACAAAAGGGCTAGAGATGTAACTTAGTGGGTTCACTTGCCAATACTGAAAAACAAAAAACTGTTGAATTGTATAGCTAAAATGGATTAAACTATTTTTCAGTCTTTGTTTTGAGTATGTTTCAATGTATATAATGATGGAGATATACTGTAATGCATCATGTTACACAGAACAAATTTTATTACATTAATACCTTTTTTTTCCTTTGTTTTTTTTTTTTTTGAGATGGGGTCCGTTATGTAGTTCAGGCTGGCCTTGAATTCACTGTGTAGTCCAGGCTGGCCTCAAACTCTAAAGGATCTTCCTGCCTCAGCCTCCCAAGTGCTGGGATGACAGGTGTGAGCCATCATACCTGGCTAATACCATTTTTAAGTGTATAGTTTGGTAGCTTTAAGTATGCTCAAAATGTTATGCAACCCATCTCCGGATATTTTTTCTCTTCCAAATTTGTTGTTGTTATTTGTTTGTTGAGACAGAGTCTTGCTACGTAGCCCAGGCTGGCCTTGAACTCACAGGGATTTTCCTGCCTCAGCCTCCAGGGCGCTGGGATTACAGGTGTGCACCACCACGCCTAGCCCCAGATCTTTTGATATTGCAAAATTGAAATGATAAACTCCTGAAATAACTCCAAAATGAATGAATTTTAAAGTAGGCCTGTGTAGATATTTTTGTTCATTTTTTGTGATGCTAGAGATTGAACCCAGGATTTCTCCTGTGCTAGACAAGTGCTCTAATAAACAAAGTATGTCTATGATATCTCAGTAAAGATGTTAAAAGTCTGACATGGTAGTGCATGCCTGGGAGACTGAAGCAGGAGGATCTCAAATCCAGCCTAACTTGGGCAGTTTAGCAACTTAGTGAGATCTTGTCACTGAGGTGTGGGGGGTGGGTTCTAGCTCAATCTAAAGGCCCTGGGTTCAATCCCTAGAACAACACCAACAAACAAGTAAAAGAAGAGCTGGGTGTGGTGCACAGATACTTGGGAGGCTGAGGCAGAAGAATCAAGTGAGCCCAGAAGTTCAAAAGCAGCCCAGGGCAACAAAAAAAAGAGGCTGAGACAGAAGGATCATTGAGTTCAAGTCTAGTCTAGGCTACAAAATGAGACCCTGTCTCAAAATAATCAAAAAGAAGGAAAATATTTCAACCCAGCCCCCTCCTCTCCCAGTCCAGTTGACAATTTTGCCTATTTTGGGACCCAGTTTAGTTGTCACATCTGGGGGTGGAGGTATAGCCCATTGTGGTGGAGCACTTGGCTAGCTCGTGCTCAGACCTGGGTTTGATCCATAGTACTGCATAAACAAAACAAAAACCCAGTGCTGTTTGCTCCAGAAGTCTTATGCCTCTGTTCTACCCGTAAGTCCCCCAGTCCTCAACCTGAGCATCTGCTCTGTAGAAAGCACCTGTCCTCCATGGTCAGTTTGGCCTTCAGACCACAGCACAGTGTCTGTGGTAGGGCCTGGAGCCAGCTGGGAGATGGGAAGCCTGGTCCCTGCTTGCTTGCTTTTCTTTCTTTCTTTCTTTCCTCTCTCTTTCTTTCTTTCTTTCTTTCTTTCTTTCTTTCTTTCTTTCTTTCTTTCTTTCTTTCTTTCTTCCTTCCTTCCTTTCTTTCTTTCTTTTTCCTTCCTTCCTTCCTTCCTTCCTTCCTTCCTTCCTTCCTTCCTTCCTTCCTTTCTTTCTTTCTTTTCTTTCTTTCTTTTTCTTCTTCACTGTGGGGATGAAGCCCAGCGTTGTTCTACCACAGAGCTATGTCTGTCTCCAGCCCTATTTATTTATTTTGAAACAGGTTGTTCCTAACCTCCCTGGGTGGGACTTGAACATCCTCTTGCCTCAGCCTTCTTGAGTGCTGGGATTACAGGCATGTATCACTGTGCTCTGCTTGGTCCCTGCTTTTGATGACAGGCTTTGCGACCTTAGGCAAAAAACTCCTGGCTGGTCCTCAGGGTCCTGGCCTGGCTGCAGGAGACTCTGGGTCTGTCCTTCTTCACGTTGTTCGAGTTTATCAGGAAGGCTTTTCACCTCCTCAACCTGAGGTTCCCATAAGCCCCTGTTTGGAAGATAAGGCCCCCAAAGTAAGGCTGCTGAAGGTTTCTGAGTGAGGGAAGCCATGGCCAGGTCTCCAGCGAAATAGCCCCAGCCCAGCCAGGCCAACCTACAGCCCTCAGTGTAGTCCTTTGGTTTCTGTTGCTCTAGGAGTTGGGCACCTCTTGGACACTCAAGTTTCCTCTGCTGCACTGAGTGGTCACCAGGGCCCAAAGCAGGACTGGATAGACTGAAAAGGGCACCAGGCCCAACCCTGACCTTATTACCTTCTCCTGCTGCTCAGCATACATGAGTCCTGCATCCAGAAAAAAAGTTCAAGGCAGAGATTTCACAGCAGTTCAGGAGAATAAAGGGTACTGGGGGCAAAGGTTCTAGGAAGGGGGCATAGGACTGCAGGCCTGGAACTTTGGGCCAGAGTGCCAATGTCCTCCAACCCCAGCTGTGCCTCGGGTAGCTATCAGCAGGGCGCTGGTCAAGAGCTCCTTGCCCACCCTTCAGCACATGCCAGGTCAGAAGGGCTGGGAGATCCAAACTGGGCTGCTGGGCTGCCAAGGGTGGGTGGCAGCTCCAGGGGAGCATCTTCGGCTCTCCTGCTTTGCGTATCCACGGCTGCCCCTTTAAACCACAGACCATGATGTCACCTCAGACAGCAAGGGACGGGAGGGGGACTGCAGGCCTGAGAATGGACTGCATTTCCCAGCAGCCTCGGATGAGCCACAGCCCTCCCAGCAGGCCCTGACTTATCGGCGACTATTAACTAGTCACGTCCCAGTTTTCGAGGAGTCTCTAGAAGTGTTGGGCCATTCTGGGGTGAGCGGGGTTCCTACTGAGATGACCTGGGGCACAGGTCGCCCCGGAAAATCCGTGGGGGTGGCATAAGCGCCGTGCCTCTTTTCCACCAGTGTCGCAGCCTCTGTGCTTGTCCCCAGTGCGAACTCCGGAGTCCTCTTACCCCGCGCAGTCTCCCTACCGTAGTCCAGCATCCCAGATTGACGCTGGAGCCATCCCGCCTGGCTCCCCTAGCTTCCGGACCCGCAGCCGGTGCCCTGAGCCCGCGCTCTGGGGTGAGCGCCGCTCCGGCTGCTGCCTTTAAGAGGAGAGAGGACTACATTTCCCAGCTGCCCGGGGCCTCCCTGATTCCTAAGTGGAAAAATAAACCCATTTATTATACAGGACACACATATTAAAATGGTTCCAAAGTATACAAATACTTTGACATATTGACCCAAACTGGTTACCAACAGTCACTTAAGAGATGCCATTCTGAGAGCAAGGGAATCAGAAGGAACTTTCAGCAAAACAGTGGAACTAGGATCTTGTGTAGGCACTCAGGTCCCAAATCAAAGAGTATCATATAGACAAGAAGTCACGTTGAGTTGGGGGCATGCCCCAGCACCCCCGGAGCCCGGGAGGGAACCCAGGAGCGCCGCCGCCCAGTCCCAGCGCCCCGAGCTGCTGAACCGCTGCAGAGGAGCCCTAAACCGCTGTCCGCCCCGCGCAAGCGGCCCCGGGGGTTGGCGACCAAAGTCTGGGTTTCTGAGAAGTGAGTGTCCCCCACCTTGGGACTTGGGAGACCATAAAAGAGGCTCTGAGGTGGGGTGGGTGCAGAGGTGAAGAGGGGATGATAGAGGAACAGGGCCCCTGTTCTTGGGAGTCCACGGAGGCTGGCACTAGTGGAGCGGGACAGCCCTGTTTGGATGAGGGGTAGCAATGAGGTATAGGATCCCCATTCTGAGTAGGACTGTCTTGAAGAATAGGCCCTATTTTGGAAGGGGTTATTTTAGATCCCGAGTCTTTCAGTTTGGAAGAAGAGACAAACAAGCCTGTGGTGGGAGGAAGCTGCACCCCTAATCTGAGGTCTTGGAGAAGGTATTAGAGAAAAGAAGGCAGGGTACCCAGCTGCAGCAAAGCACTGACCGCTGTCTCTGCTTCTCCTGCTGACCTTTCTGCCCTGACTTCTCCTCCCAAGAACTGGAGAGGGAACCCTGACTGCATTCTTCTGGACCCCCAGGAAGTACCTGAGGCCTGAGTCATCTCCTTTCTACTCTTCCTGCCCCCCAGGACTGGGCAGTTGCCGAAGGCCCTGGGGGGGGGCCCAGGACTGTGGTTGTGCCCCCCCCCAACGGACAGGATGGGCCCAACTTAGTCCACCCAACCTCACCCAGTGTCCTCCAGGCCCAGAAGGAGCCCCAGACACTCTGAAAGCTTGACCTGGCTTGCCTGCCATGGAGACGAAGCTGCCCCCCGCGAGCACCCCCACCAGCCCCTCCTCCCCAGGGCTGTCGCCTGTGCCACCACCGGACAAGGTGGACGGCTTCTCCCGCCGTTCCCTCCGCAGGGCCCGGCCCCGACGCTCACACAGCTCCTCTCAGTTTCGCTATCAGAGCAACCAGCAAGAGCTCACGCCGCTGCCCCTGCTCAAAGGTGAGACTGACGCTGGCTGCCATGGTGCTGGTGCCTGAGCTCCAGAGGGGGCCAGTGAAGCTGCGGGTGGAGTGAGATGCATCCGTCAGAGGGAGCTTACAAGGTGCTGCCAGGCTAGGGATTCCAGCATTGGAACTGCCCTGTAGCCCACCAGCTCACTGCTGACGCATGGCCTGACAGGCTTGTCATCCCTGGAGGTGGGGCATCTGGAGGTGGCGCCACCCTGGGGGGCAGGCCAGGGCCAAGAATATGGCCTACAGCTTGGGTTCCAGGAGGTCACTATTAACCCAGCTAGCTGTTTGGGCCCTGGGGCTGGTGATAGGCATGGCTTCCTGTTGTCACCACATAGGCCCTGCCCTCACCCCTGAGCCCCTCTCCACTTCTAGTTTATAATCCAAGGTGCCACCTAGGAGAGGGTGGCAATGGCTGTTATAGGAAAACCCACACATCCAGACTTTGTGATCTTGCCGGGCATGGTGGCACACGCCTGTAATCCCAGCACTTGGGAGGCTGAGGCAGGAGGATCATTGTGAGTTCGAGACCAGCCTGAACTATACAAGTGAGTTCCAGGTCAGTCTCAACTACATAGTGAGACCCTGTCTCAAAAAAAAAAAACAAAAAAAACAAAAAACAAAACCCAAAACAAACAAACAGACTTTGTGATCTTGTTTTAAAATCTAAGTCTTTGAGTCAGGATTAGGAGAAAGAGAGGAAGATCCTTCAGCCCCTGGAGGTGAGCAGATAGAACCCAAGTTTACTGTCTGCAGGGAGTGAAAGATGGTACCCGAGTATGGGGTCTGGGGAGAGCAGAGGCTGCCTGGAAAGTTTGCCCTAGGGACTAGGTGGCCCACCCTTGCCCAGAGCTCTGCAGCTGGATCCAGTTTCAGTCCCTTGTCCTCCCCAGATGTGCCAGCCTCTGAGCTGCATGAGCTTCTGAGCCGGAAGCTGGCCCAGTGTGGGGTGATGTTTGACTTCTTGGACTGTGTGGCTGACCTGAAGGGGAAAGAGGTAAAGCGGGCAGCACTCAATGAGCTGGTGGAATGCGTGGGAAGCACCCGGGGCGTCCTCATTGAGCCCGTCTACCCAGACATCATCCGCATGGTGAGCACTGGGCCCAGCCTCTGGGGGATTGCTTAAGGGCCAGGTAAACTCTGCTTAACCACTTCAGGACCCCTGTCCAAAGACCTCAGCGTGCCTTGCACTCCCTGTGAGCCCACTGTTGCCCACCGACCACTCAGGGCCTCCTTGCCTGGCCCACTTTTGCGTCTTGTCTGATGTGTGCTGAAACCAGGAGTGCCCTTCCTCCAGGTCACCATGGCCTGGCTCAGGTGCTGCCTCTTCTGTGAAGCTCCTCTCAAGGTCCATTTCCTGCCCAGAATGCCTGTGGACCTCACTGTTTTCAGTCTCGTCTCTGGATTGTACCTGCCTGGGGATGTGGCCCATCTGTCCTTGTGTTCTCAGCCACTGGCTGAGGGCTTGCAGGACCCGGGTGTTCAGGTGATGATTGCCCAAGGAGTCAGCTACTTGCTGGAACAGGTGTTGAGGTCAAAACGTTAGAACTTTGGATGGGGGACCCCTCTGACTTCTGCCTTCAAGGGATCTTTCCTAAGGAACCCTGACTCTCCCCCAGATCTCAGTGAATATCTTCCGGACCCTGCCCCCCAGTGAGAACCCTGAATTTGACCCTGAAGAGGATGAGCCAAACCTGGAGCCTTCCTGGCCACATCTGCAGGTATGAAGAGCAGTGGGGGAGGGGGCTGGCATCCGCACTTCAGAGAAGATCAGAGGGGCTGAGGGTGGATCTACTTAGCCTATAGACTGTTGGATAAGGGCTGGAGGGTGGGGTGGGGTGAGTGGCTAAGGCTGTAACCAAACTCACCTTTTTGTCTGTCTCCTTCCCCTAGCTGGTGTATGAGTTTTTCCTGCGTTTCTTGGAGAGCCCAGACTTCCAGCCTTCTGTGGCCAAGAGATATGTGGACCAAAAGTTTGTCCTGATGGTGATGTGGGGAGCCCAGGCTGGGTGGGGCATAGGGCAGGGGGCCTCTTGGAAGGTATGCATAGGATAGAGAGGTTGACCTCTCATCTGACCCTTGACCCTGGGCCCCACAGCTCCTGGAGCTGTTTGATAGTGAGGATCCTCGGGAGAGAGAGTACCTCAAGACCATCTTACACCGGGTCTATGGCAAGTTCTTGGGTCTCCGGGCCTACATTCGAAAACAGTGCAACCATATCTTCCTCCGGTGAGTGGCTGCTGTCCACCCAGCAGAGACTTGGGGAGGGAGGGGGTGAAGGGGGATTCAGGGAGACAGAGATTGGGGTTCCTGGGCTGTGGGGGCCATGTGGGATTCCAGTTTATCAAAGTCTTCTTCTGTGACACAATATTTGTTGTACAAAGCCTATAAAGACAGCAGAGAATGAAGAATTGTTTCCATTTTCCAGATGGGGAAGTGGAGGCCAATGGAATAATTTACAGGGACTAGGGAAGTCCAGGGGAGCCTAGGATCTAAACTTCTGATCCTTATGACCCCCAAAGAGAGATTCTTTCTGCAAGCATGAATTACACACCAACACCCACTGGCAGTGGGGGCCCTGTGGCCTTGTAGTATCAGCCTGTATTTGAGTTTGGTTCCCATGTTTGGGTGAACTTGGGTAAACCACTTATGTACTCTCCTGGGTTCCTCACTCTTGAAGTGGGCATGTTGCCTAAACTAATTCAGGGACCATCCTCAAGGTGACATAAGGCAGTGTCTCCAAAGTGCTCTATATAGTTCCTGGCCCTAGGCAGGGACTCTGAAACCTTAGCTCTTATTGTTCTTAGCAACCAAATAGGTAAGACGTGATCTGAGTCCTCCAGGAGCTTGGAGTCCATTAGATTCCCCACTCATTAACTTTGGAGCAAGTGTAATTTAACCACTGAGTCTCAACTTCCTCATCTGTGTAATGGCTTTAATACGCCTTCCCTCCTGGGAGAGCTTGGAGAATTACAGGGTATGGAGTAGATGCTCTAAGTGTTCGTCATTGCTTTGGTTGAGTGCTTGGAGAGCCGAGGTCATGGGCTAGGTGCCTGCTGACTTGGAGGATGAGGTAGAGTGTTACGGGATGGAAAGAAAAAAGACCAACTGCAATGCCTGTAGAGAGAAGCTGAGTAGCAAGGCACAGTGGTGCACACCTGTAATCCCAGCTGCTCAGGAGGCTGAGCCAGGGACATTGCAAGTTCAAGGCCAGCAAGGGCCAGGATGTAGCTCAGTGGTAAAGCATTGCATAGCATGTACCAGGCCCCACATTTGATCCCCAGTACTGGGGACGGGGGAAGGCCGAGCTGGATGGGAGTTGGGGCAAAGGTGGCTGGGCTGACAAGGGCATTTTTTTTTTTCCTTTTGGTACCGGGGATTGAACTCGGGTCCTTGTGCTTGCAAGGCAGGTGGCAGAACCACTGAGCTAAATCCCCAGCCCCAGACAAGGGCATTTCTGGAGCGGGCACAGATCTCACTGTGGCCTGGTTTGGGAAATGGGGGAGATGGCTACTGGGTTGAGAGAAAGGGATGGATGGATGTGCAGGTGGGTGGGGTAGGCAGGCAGTCAGATGGCTGCTGGGGGTGCTGGGCCTGCCCCTGGGCTCTGATCCTCCTGCATTCTTTTCTTCCCCTTGCAGATTCATCTATGAACTTGAGCACTTCAATGGCGTAGCCGAGCTGCTGGAAATCTTAGGAAGGTGATTTACCTTGGGCCTTAGCTGGAGCTTAGGATTCTGGGGAGAGGAAAGAGGACCTGGTCATATGAACCCCGCTCCTGTCTTCTGCCCCCTCCCCAGCATCATCAATGGCTTTGCACTGCCCCTGAAGACTGAGCACAAACAGTTCCTGGTTCGAGTCCTGATCCCCCTGCACTCTGTCAAGTCACTGTCTGTCTTTCACGCCCAGGTGAGGCTGAGGCCTGGCCCTGCCATAGAGGCGCTCCTGCCAGAGTGAGGGCTGCCAGTGGGGCCAGGAGGTCAGCCTGGTACTCACAGGTTCCTATCTGGACTAATTCCAGCCAACTTAGAGAGTTTCAGCTTTGAAGGCTGGCCTTGGACATCAGCTCAGCCCCTTCCCTCTACCTGGCCTGGATAGAGTGAAACTGTCCTCCTATAGTCTCAAAGACTATAGAAATCTGTTAGGGATTTTTTGTTTGTTTGTTCTTGAGACAGGGCCTCACTACGTAGTTGAGACTGACCTGGAACTCACTGTGTAGCCCAGGCTGGTCTCGAACACAGCGATCCTCCTGCCTCAGCCTCCCTAATGCTGGGATTATAGGCATATCCCAGCTTATTTGGGATCTTTTTGCAAAGTTGCCAAAGATTAGTTGTTAGAATGTTCCCTGTGAAGTCATCATTGTGTCTCCATATCCTGCGCATGGACCCTCATGTTTCCTAGGCAGCAGTAAGGGCTGGGAGAATAGGGGTGAGGTACTAAGTGAGCAGCCACTTGGCACGCAGTCCCAGGCAGCCAGGCCTCCGTACCTGGCCCGGTATTGACCCCAGGTCCTCCCCCGCTACCCCTTGCAGCTGGCATACTGTGTGGTGCAGTTCTTGGAGAAGGATGCCACCTTGACAGAGCATGTGAGTACCTCCGGGGGGAAGGAGGGCCCTCACTCTGCAGGTGTGACTCCCTTCTGCCTTTATGCCACAGGTGATCCGTGGGCTGCTCAAATATTGGCCAAAAACCTGCACCCAGAAGGAGGTAGGAGGAGAGTTTCTGATGCCCACCGGAGGAGGTGGGAAGGGCTCAGCTTCCTGAAGGCAAGCAGCAGTGTGTGTTTCTGGGGGAGATGTGAGCTGCGACCCCTCTCCTCCACCACAGGTGATGTTTCTGGGGGAGATGGAAGAGATTCTTGATGTCATCGAACCCTCCCAGTTCGTAAAGATCCAGGAGCCCCTCTTCAAGCAGGTGGCTCGCTGTGTCTCCAGCCCCCATTTCCAGGTATGGGGCAGGGACAGGTGGGGTCGAGTGGGATGTGCCTGGGAAGGTGGGCTAGTTGACCAGAAGTTCCCTCCACCCTCAGCTTCTCCTTCAGTCCTCTGGGTCTGATGATGGGGAGATGCTGGGCTTAGGATCAGGATACACGAGGTCATACCTCAGATCTGCCTTTGCTGGTGGTGGGGCCTTGGGCAAAACACTTCACCAAATCTGATGAAGTTTCTTCATCCGTGAAACGGGCCAACAGTTTCTTCACCGAGTAGTGAGGAGGATAGAAGAGTTCAGGACTGTAAACATGTTTGGTTAATTGAACTAGAATGGGAAGGAGTGTTGTTATCTCTTTGCCCCCTTTGTTAGCAGCCTTAGAGTTTGTTGTTCTCCTTTGAGGACCCAGCCAAGTTCCTCCACCCATTGCAAGCAGTTGTAACTCACACTTTCCTGCGTGCAGGCACAGACTGTCCCGTTCTTCTTCATGATCCTCCCCCTCCACCCCTTGTCCCTCCCTCTCCTCTTTCTCCTTTTTTTTTGTTTTGTTCTTTCTGCAGTGCTGGTTATTGAACCCAGGGCCTCATACATGCTAGGCAAGTGCTCTACCTCTGAGCTCCACCCCTGCCTTTCTCCCATTCTTGTGAACCGTAACTCCATGTTCTTCCTCATAGGGACTCTTGATATTTTACTTTCTTAAATAGCTTAATGTCCAGTATCTCATTTTATTCTTAAAACAACTGGTAGAAGGAGGTGTAATTAGCCCATTTTACAGATTAGCCATGTGAGGCTGAGAGGTCAAATGCCTCATACAAGGTCTCATGGGTTTGGCAGTCTGTAGTGGAGCTAGGATTTGCCCAAGTGTTGGACTCCAAACCCAGTGCTCTTTCTCTTTATCGCTTTATCTTTACCTCCTTTCCTCTGGGGTTGATTCGCCTTCATGATGAGGTGTGTGCAGAACAGGGATGGGGATTTGGAGCAGGGCTGGCTTCCAGACCTTGTACACAGACACGGCCAGCACTCACTGCCATCTCTCCTGCCGTAGGTTGCAGAGCGGGCTCTGTACTTCTGGAACAATGAGTATATCCTGAGCCTCATTGAGGACAACTGCCACACTGTGCTGCCTGCTGTGTTTGGGACCCTCTACCAAGTCTCCAAGGAACACTGGAATCAGTGAGTGACCAGGTTTTAACCTAAGCCTCAGAAACGGGGCCCCATCCTGCTTAGCTGCAAAGATCAGAGAATGTGTCCAAGGTGGGCTAGGGGCTGAGCGGTAAGGGGAGTGGGTGGTACTGAGTTGTTCAGGGCTGTGGGTATGTTTGGGGAGATGGGGCCAAATTGATACTGCTTTAAGAAACCTCGATCCTCTCCCTTGACCATGCTAAGAACCATCGTATCTCTGATCTACAATGTGCTCAAGACCTTCATGGAGATGAATGGGAAGCTGTTTGATGAGCTCACGGCCTCCTATAAGCTGGAAAAGCAGCAGTGAGTGCTGGGGGAGAGCAGGAGTCTGGCCCTGGGTTGAACAGAGAGGACCATCCCCAGCCTGTGGTCCGGTGCCCCAGTCCTCCTTCACGTTCCTGCATGTCTGGGCCATCCTATGCCAGCTGCCCACCATATCCTCCGGCCCTTCTTCCAGTAGTTCTCCAGGACCACCCAGCTCTGACTCTCTCCGGCCAGGCCAGCTCCTCTTCTTCCTGCAGGCTGGGAGCAGTCTCTCAGCGCTGCCCTGACAGTTCCTATGGTGTTACAGGGCAGGGTGGTGAGGGAGGTTGGACTTGGGGGGCCCCTGTGTGGGAGCTGCCTCACCCTCTCACTCCAGGGAGCAGCAGAAGGCCCAGGAGCGCCAGGAGCTGTGGCAAGGCTTGGAGGAGCTACGGCTGCGCCGACTACAGGGCACCCAGGGAGCCAGAGAGGCCCCCCTCCAGCGGCTCACCCCTCAGGTGGCGACCAGTGGGGGTCAGAGCTAGAGCCCCCAGAAGGGGAGAAGCTAAGCCCAGAGCTTCTGGTCCCTCAATCCCTTCTCCTGCCCAGGGGCCCGAGAGGCACACACCTGCCCCTGGCCTTGCCAGAGTGGGCCCTGAGGACTCCCTGCCCAGCCCAGCATGGGCAGCTTGCACCAGGGAGACGAGAAGATGGGATGGTGGTCTTGACAGCAGAACTCTTAGGCCCTCGTGGCAAGACTTGACCAAGGCAGGCTTGACCAGGAAGCTGCCATCAGGGCTCTCACTCGTCCTTACCACTGGGCTCTGGGGGCAGGCAGGCTCCCACCCACCCCTGCTCCTGCCCAGGGTGAGGTCATGCAGCACCTTACATCTTCCTCATCCCCACCATGGGGGTCTGTGGTCTATTTATTCTGCCCAGCTCACCCTCAACATAGACACTGTCCTGGCCCCGGGGTGTCCTCCTCTCCTCTCCCTCGCCCTGTACTTCCTTGTCCCCTTTTTATTTATTGGGCAGGGGGAGGGGTGAGGGCACAGACAAGAAGAGATTCACAGTGTCCTGGGGTGAGGGGGGTCACAGTAATCATAGTCTATCCTCTTCCCCTGGCTGGGGGTAGACTTAATAAAGACAGAAACTCAAGAATTGCTTGCTTTATTTAGGGGCAGGGACAAAGAAGGGAAGGGAAGGAGTGAGAGACTGGATAAAGGGTCAGGTAAAGATGAGGAAGAAGCAGAAACCCCTCTTCTCGAGGCGGCCATCGCAAACTGCTCAGAGGGTCAGCTGGGGCAGCTCCTTATTTAAACAATCCCATGGCAAGTGGACAGCAGGGCTAGAACTTCCAGTGACTAGTACCGTGAGAGGCGACACATGTCACACTGGCAGGCCCTGGCTGTGAAGACCTCGAGCTCCCCGCTCCGGTTCCCCACACACTGCAGCTGCACCTTCATCTGTGGGAGGGAGTCCACGTTGGTCCTGCTCCCAGGCCATCTTAGGGCCCCTCTGTTTCCCCCGTCAGTTCTCCTGCTGGGCTCAGGTGCCCCTCACCTTTTTCAGACCACGGATGGTGCAGCACTGAGAGATGGAAGTGATGTTGTGCCGATAGCTGCTGGCCACCAGCACAGAGTACCAAGAGGGGAATGCGCTGGACTCTCAGTGGCCCACGCAGGCCTGTGCCACGTGGCAGCCCTGGCAGGTGCCTTGGCGGTCACTTCGCACTGTCACATTGAATGCTGGAAGGAAACAGGCAAGCAGAGATGCTCCTCTGCAAAGGCTGCCACAGCTGCCATCAGCTCTGCCTGCCTTGTGTGGATCTGTCACCTCTGCTTCCGCCCCTTCCTTCTGACCCTCTAGCCCCTGAGTTACTCACGATGCAAATGGCAGCCTGGGGTGGCTGCCTTCTAGCCTCCGCCTTCAGTGACTGCCAGGACCAGCATGCAGAGGAGCAGGGCTGCAGGGGATGCCATGGGGCATCTAAAACAGTGGGTGGGAAGGGAGTTAGGCAAGTTCTGAGGGCCTCCAGGTGAGTAAGCAAGCAGGGCTGCTTGGTATTTGTGACAGGGAGGCTGGCCAGAGTGGGGCTGTGTCCTCCCTGTCTGCCTCAGACTGAGGTGTGCCTGCCTGGGTCACTGGATGGGTGGTGAGTAGTCCCCTCTGGATGGGGCTTGTGTGTCAGCCCTCTGCTGGGTCACTTTTCCCTGGAACTTCCCTCATCGTCTGGACCACTGACATCATCCTCCCCCTACTTGTTTGGGCCTGCAGAGTCCTCTCCCACACCGCCTGGCCTGCCCTTCGCTCCTCTGGCCTCAGGAAACTCACCAGTCCACCAGCAACCCAAGAGGCTGGCAGGTTCCCAGTGCCTCCTGCTGGTCTCCAGATTTCAGGCCGCAGCTCTCCAGGCTTTTATTACTGGGTATTTTAGAGCCATGCCCTCTTAGAGATTGGCTTTCCCAGGCTGCCTCCCAGCCCGAGGCTTCAGAGCAGCTCAGAGCAGCTCGACCTGGGAGATCCTGTTCTGATGCAAGGACCTTAGAGAGGGGGCTCTGCCACCTTCTGCTGCTCTCTGTCTAAGAAGCTGCCAATGGTCCCAGACTGGAGGAAGCAAGATCTGGAGAAACTTGAGGGGCTGGTGGAGCAGGTGGTTTGTGTACTGTTGGGGAAGAGGGGTCAAGTCTCTTGGTCACCTGGTTTCTTTGCTGTATGATCTTGGGCATGACTTCCATGTTTAGGCCCTTGCCACCCCCAGCCTTACAATGACTAAACTTAGCCTGCCTGTCTCTCCTGTCTCTCACTGATTGTAGAGGAAAGGAATTGAGAAACCAGATTTTTTTTTTGGTACTGGGGATTGAACTCAGGACCTTGAGCTTGTGAAGCAGGCTGTGGAACCAGCTAGAAACCAGATTTTTATGAACAAGGGAATCACACAGGTGGGTGCTGCAAAGCCAGGAGGCCTGGAAGGATGAATTATGTCTTTAGTCTTCTCTGGTCCAGTGCCCAGTGGGTGTTTTCTCTTGCCCTGGTCAGTTACAGAATGGAGCTCTGAGCAACAGGGTCCTTCTAGCCCTTGGAATAACATCTGCTCCTAAGAGAACCTGAAACTGTCAACTTCAGAAAAGCTGGTTGTTTGGGGCAGCTCTGGTTTTACAGTGAGGCTACTGAGGCTCAGAGAAGGAAGGATACTAAAAGTTATACCGAGCTGGGTGTGGTGGCATACACCTGTAATCCCAGCACTCTGGAGGCTGAGGCAGGAGGATCACTACAGGTTCAAGGACAGCCTGGACTACCTGGGGAGACCCTGTCTCAATAAAATAAAATAAAATACACACCTAGTCAATGTCTGGGCTGATGTGGTGCTCAAATCTACAGTCCAGCCATGGTGCTAAATCATATTTAGGGCAAGAATATGGCAAGTGCGGGAAAGACCATAACTGGCAGTAGCTAGAGGTTAGGGCAGGGCAGGGATCAGAAGAAAGCCTAGTGCAGTTCTGGGCAGCCCATTCAGGACCGTTGCCTCATGACCTGCTCCCTGTGCCAGAGCAAGCTGGCTCCCTATAGATAGCGAAGCACACAAAATCCTACCCTCTTATTTTCTAGCTCAGAAAATAACCCGAGAGGAAAGCAACTTCCAGAGGCTTCACTGATAAGTGAGCCCCAGTCAGGATGGGCACTCAGCTCTTAAGATTACAGAGCTGTGCCTTTCAGCAACTTTGGCAAGCAGATCATGCTTCAGGTAGCAGGGCACTGGTGGTGAACAGGATTTGAGAGGAATTGTTCCCAATCTCAAGTCCCCACACCCTAAGGCTTCCCCTCCAGAGCCTCCCCACTCAGGTCCTGGTCCTCCCTCAACAGCTCCTCCTCCAGCTACCTCTTCTCTTTTCTTTGCCAAGCAAGGGGACTCAGAGGGACCTCAGCAGTCCAACCCCCAATCCCCACTCACTACATCCCCTCTGGGATGTGACAGGTGACTGATGTAAACCTTTGGACAGGGATTCATTTACCTCACAGCATAGCCCCTTCTAATACTGGATGTCTTTAACAGTTAAAAGTGATTCCTTTGTCGTGAACTGAGTTCCCCTAAATTTCCATTGATGCTTTTGGTTCTCTGAGGTCACACAGGCTTCCAGTGAATCCGACTAACTTGTGTTACTGTCAAGGAATCAGAGGGAGAAACTGGTTGGAACCATGTTCTCTTTAGAGAAGTAACACTCTGGGGCCAAGCCAAGCTGGGCTGGAACAAAGATCACTTCTTTGGGGGCTGCAGGGCTCAGGGCAGTAAGTCTTGCATAACCTCATTCCCTGGACCCTAGCAGCAAAGTTTAAGGTTCGAGGTCAGACACAGACTTGGTGGCTGCCCAGTGTGACCCTGTAAGCAGCAACTAGATGCCAGGGAAAGTGTCACACATTGCTTCTCTATATTTTGAGGGAAGAGTTTGTTCTCTCTCAATCTGTTTCACTAAATTTAATCAATAATTCTTCATAAATAATTAATTTATTGGTTTTAGGATCCTAAGTGTTGGAGACAAAAGACCCAAACTGGCCCTCAGGGTAGTAAAATTCTTAGATGCGAGCATTTTAGAAAGTTCCATTCTTTTTCCAGTGTTTTAATGGCAGTGGGGGGGAACCCACTCAATTATAAAGGGCTAAGGACAGGACAAACCCACAAGAAGACTAATTGGGAGCCATTATACTCATGGTTGAAGCGTGGTAAGAAAAGGATGGAGCTGGAGGAGTGGTGGCCAGGGAGCAGTCGCTGCAAGAGAAGGCCCTCTTTCTGTGGCTGTCACCGCATCTGGGAGGCTCACTGGCTGCTCTTCTTGAAGAAATACCGAAGGGGAAAGACAGTGCTGCAGGAATGAGAGCAAAGTAGTCTGAGATCGGAGGTCTCCTTCCCAACTGCCTGCTTCCCATTAATGCATAATTAGCCAGGCCATTTGGCTCTGAGGAGCCAATGAATGGAAATTCAAGTCTGGAACAACATTTGAGAAGGTACTCAAATTAGATTACACTCAGGAGAAGGAAATCAAGGAAGAAGAATTGCAGTGGGATGGCTGAGTTCTAGATTTGCTAACTCCTCTGCAGAAAGGACGCTGAAGACACAACCTAGATTCACAGGGGAGAAGGGGAATGATCTGGTAGCCAAATAATCTGAATGACCCAAGTAAAATAGGAACAGTCTGTTCAAGCAATGTGTATGGAACCAGGCCTTATCCTGGGCACATTAGGGTGGGGGTGAGATATGCAAAAGTGAGTAAGAGGCAGGTGTGGGGCACACCTGTAATCCCAGCACTCCCAGAGGCCAAAACTGGAGGATCTCAAGTCTGAGACAAGCCTGGGCTACATAGAGTTTGAAACTAGCTTGGACCACATAGTAAGACCCAGTCACAAAAAATAAGATGCATTCTTTTTCTTTGTCTTTTTTTTTGTTTTTTTGAGACAGGGTCTCACTATGTAGTTGAGACTGACCTGGAGTTCACTATGTAGCCCAGGCTGGTCTGGAACTCACAGTGACCCTCCTGCCTCAGCCTCCCGAGTACTGGGATCATAGGCGTGCGTCACCACGCCCAGCAATAAAATACTTCTTTATTAAATTAAATTCACAACTAGAGCCCTTGTTCTCAGTCTCATTTTTATCATCTATATTGGATGTAATTGAGAAATCTCTGCAAGTGATCAGCTTTCTTCTCTATTCTCATTTCCCTGAAAGATGCAGGGAGGCAAGCTCTGGACACTGCTCCTGCTCTGGCTCTGGGGCTCAGTTATGGCAGAAGGGAAGCTTGTCTTACCTTAGAAACCCAAAGACGCTTCGGATTCCCAGCTCTTTAGGTGGAGGTGAGTTGTTCTGCTGCAAGGGTGGAACGATTGCCCCTGGCAGGTTGTGTCCACATTTAGAATCTGTAAGAGAAACACTCAGGCAGGAAAAAGGTGTTGGTGAGCAGAATACTTTCATGTGAGTAGGAGATAGCAGAGCAGCCTCACACCAAGATTTATTTAAAGCCAGGTGAATTGTTCGCTCTGACCTTTCTGATTTTGTCTAGCTCAATATGATGCTATTCTGACCTTGGAGTATTTTCAACGTCAGATTCCTGAGACATTTACACAGCTCAAGTCCCAGCCATCCACCACAGCCGGTATGCTTTCACATGGAATGACTACTTGTTGAAGAGATCATGTGCTTACATCCCTGCTTCTGGAATAGCTACAGTCCACACTGAATCCCATGCTGGGTAAAAAGATCAGCAAGTTGGAAGAGCAGCCCTTTGCCGTGCATTCCCAGGCTTTGTAGAGCATCCACAGTATTAACACTAAGCCCCAAGAGGAAAAAGAGTGGTGGTTCTCCCACTGCCCAGAGAAAGGAAACGCATCCTTTCCAACTCTTCTATGACAACTGCCCACCTTACATAGAAGATTTAGAACTGCAGGAGCATCAATCGCACTATCAGGAACAGAAGGGGAAGGGCATGTGCTGTCCACCTTTGCTCCTTTTGAGAGCTGGAGGTGGGGGAGATCCAACTCCCAGACTGGAGGAGGCCAGTGGTGCTTCCACGAGAGTGAGGCCCCCGACATCTCCGATGTGCCTGGACTCAGTGCTCTGTGCCACTCTGCTCAGCACAGTGCAAAAAAACGGGCAGGATGATTATTAAAGAAGAATAAATGTGAATTTCCCACAACCTACGCTGTTCCTGGACATCAGTGGTGTCAGAGGCTATGGTCGTCTGTCTCTCTTGCTGGGGTTTCCTTTCTCTGTTCTGATAAAAAGAAGATCAAGAAAAGTCTTAAACTTACTCTGACCCAGCCTGTATGCTATTTTCTGACAAATGTTTTCACATCAGCACTGGGGCCTGGCTTTTGACTGCCCAGGTAGGCCCTATAGTTCTTTCTTTCTTTTTTTTTTAAAGGTCTAATTATTCAAACAGTTTATATTTCTTTCTTTAGGATTGTCTTTTTTCATTTCAACTTCTAACCTGGTCCCACTAAGACCAGATGATTTAAGAGGTGAGAACAAGCCCATCTGCATTTATCTCACCACCCCCTACAACTCAGTGCCTGCTATTGTTGGCTGACACAGTACAGAGGTTTCAGAAACCAGGAGGATATTCATGGTACATTGGAGAAATATACGATCTACAGGGTAAACGGCATACTACAGCAGTGTGATCCAGCTACTCTACCAGTTTCTACAGAGTGCTGTGGTTGCTGAGGAGGACATTAGCAGAATGGGTGGCTATTGTCAAGGAAGATTTCACAGGGAAAGTGACATGAACGTGGGCTTTGATAGATGAGCGGAATTTTGCTATAATGCAGAATGAGGACCTGGTCAGTGAGAGCAGGGTATTCTAGACAGGGACATGGCAGGAAGGGCACAATACCATTAAAGAGTAAATATGATCAACATGGCCAGAGCTGAGTGTGGCAGGAATATGACTATGGCAGTAGAAGCCAGCATAATACAATGCAATATTAATATTTCTCCATGTGCTACTGCTTGCTACAAATCCCCTGGAAGAGGAAATCCTACAGCCTGGTTCAAGGCCCTCAATTCCCTGTAAATACCCTTGTCATCAGAAACATGGCACATGTACTTGCGCTGGGACTCTCTGCCAGCTGGCCACTGTCCTTAGCCAGCAGGGCCCCAAGGCCCCGCTGCCCAGCTGTGCTGCCAGTGGAGAATCCTGTAGTGGAATGGGCTGCAGGAGGCAGACAGATGGTGGGCTCTGAGGAAAGTGAAGACCGGACCTCATCCCAAGCACTAGCTTCAGGTTAGAACAGCAGGTCTTTCTGAGGTGAGCTTTTTCATGAACCTGTCAGATTCTAGTCCACAGAGGTGGCCCCTAAGTCATATTCCTAAAAAAAGTGAAAGAGAACCCTGGGGAGGAAAGAGACCACTCTGCTTTTCCAAACAGAGCAGAGACTACATTTAAAGGGTCCAGCTCTGGTTTCTGGCTTGAGGGGATGGTTTTTACAACTTTAATTAAACTATGCTTTCAGGCTTAAATTCTGCTCTACAGGATAACCAGTAAAGGGGCATCTATTTGGATTGGTAGAGGCCCCAGAAGCAAATGCCCTAGGGCTGAGGTATAGCCTACCCTGGGACCAGGAGTCTACTTTTACAAGATGTGTGGATTCTGTGCTTTCTTGATTTTTTATTATTATTATTATTTTTTGTACTGGGAGTGGAATCCAGGGGTGGAACCCAGGAGCATTTTACCACTGAGTATATCCCCAGACCCTTTTCATTATTTATTTATTTATTTTTTGGTACTGGGATGGAACTGGGAACCTTATGCTTTTGAAGCAGGCAGCAGAACCACTGAACTAAACCCCAGGCCCTTCATTCTTTATTTTGAGACAAGGTCCCCTAAATTGCCTAGGCTGGGTTCGAACTTGCAATTCTCTTGCCTCAGCCTCCTAAGTAGCTAGGATTACTAGGTGTACACCATTATGTCCAGCTCCTGAAATCTTGAGGGAGGTCTTGCTGGCAAAAGTTTCAAGACAGTCACATGTGGTGGCACATGCCTGTAATGCCTGCATTTGGGAGGCTAAGGCAAGAGGACTGCTATGAGTTTGAAGTCAGCCTGAGCTACATAGTGAGTTCAGGTCCAGCTTGAACTACATAGCAAGACCCTGTCTCAAAAAAAAAAAAAAAAGTTTCAAGAAAAGAAAAAGTCTGAATATTGAGGGTACCACTGGGCACATAAAGCAGGGCCTTATATCCTGAAAGTCTATATATGCTGAGCCAGATCTATGTAGAAGTAGTTCAAGCAGAGGGGGAAAAACCACTTTTGAGTAGTCTGTGTCACTTCTGAGCTTTGGTCTTCATCCCCAAATCCCCTACTTTTTATTCTGCCAAAGTCTGGGTCTGTGTATCTGAGACCTGAAGGAGCAAAGGGAAAAGGTCTTCCTTTCCTTCTTCTTTTCCCCAAAGCATAGAGGCTATGAGCTCAACATTGTTCTCTTCTAAGCTTTCCCCATGTGTGTGTTCATGTGTGCAGACATCACAATCCACACTGGCTGTGATACGATACCCTGACTTCTTCCAAAGCAGGGAAAAGTATCGAGCACTGGACCATAGGAGCAAATTCAATTTTTCCAGCTCAAGGGACTTACACTGAGAATCACTGTGATCATTTTAATTTAGGAAAAATCCTCTCCCTGGGAACGGAGTCTACAACAGAGGCTATCTTTGGGCTTGGAGTCAAAATCAATAAACATGTTCTTTTACTTTTTTTTTTTCCTAAATCCTGAATCAGGTTGAAAAGGTAATTATGTTGAATAAGAAGCTGTGGGTACTGCTTTTGAGGGAGATGATGTGTCAAACTAAGAATAGGAAGGTATGAAGGGAAGAGAGGGAGGAAATGTTCCTCTAACAGCAATTATCTTAGTGTATAAAGTATCTTTGTTCTCCAGAGCATCGTGTACTCTTATACTTTCTTATTCCTTCTTCTTACCTTTCTAAACCACAGGAGGCATAGAAGGGGCAACTCTCTGCCTATAATCACCCGGTAGGCTGCTTAGCCATGGCCATCTGCAGCCCTGTCCTCTGCCCCTCCCCAGGGCACAGGTCGAGAGCCACAAAGATGCCCGCTCCTCCCAGAGAGAAGCCAGGTCCACCGTGTGTGCCCTAGCATTCAACATAATGCCTTACCAACAGGAGATAGAAGAATGGTTTAGAAATGAAAATCACTCCATTTCTTTCCTTAAACTATTTTAGGAAAGGGCCGGGGATTTAGCTCAGTGGTGCCACTGGCCTGGCAAGCACAAGGTCCTGAGTTTGATTCCTGGCACCAAAAAAAAAAAAAAAGGACTAGGCTCAAACTTACAATCCTCTTGTCTCAGCCTCTCAGAGTGCTGGAATCAAAGGCATGTGCCACCAGATCCAGCTAAATCTTGAAGGTGGCCTCAAAGATTTTATGATTCAGCCCACTCTGTTGGCTCCAGCAAATTTTTTTTATTTTTATTTTTTTTATGGTACTGGGGATTGAACTTGGGCCTTTGTGCTTGCAAGGCAGGTGGCAGAACCACCAAGCTAAATCCCCAGCCCATGGCTCCAGCAATTTTTTTTTTTTTGGTACTGGGGATTGAACTTGGCCACCGCACCGCTGAGCTAAATCCCCGGCCCATCCAGCAATGTTGTTTAGTGTTGGGTTCTAAGCTGCTTGGTCTGAGCTCTTTTAGCTCCTCTGGGAATCTTTCCCTCATGGCCTCCCTGTGTTCCCTCCCTATCCTGTGCTTCCTTCTGGCCACAAACATAGTGCATTTATTGGTAACTGTCTGCCTGGCCTAATGCTGCTGGTATTTTTAGGGCAGAGTATGATATCCCTGGTAGTTGGCACATAGTGGAAATGGGCTGAATGAATTCAATCAATCATACATTATGGGTCCTGAGAAGGTGAAGGTGAGGTGTTTGTGTCTGGGTAGTTAAGGGCAGAGCTAGTTTGGGGACATAAAGAAAGTGAGATGGCTCTGCCACCTGCTTTGCAAGTGCAAGGTCCCAAGTTTGATCCCCAGTACCCCCAAAAAAAAATGATGTGAGAAAAAAATGAAGGCCCTATAAAGCATATATAATAGCTAACAGTTACATAAAGAGAGGAGGAAATTAAAAAGGACACTGCTTTAGAGGCTGCTATGAAAAATAAGCCTTGAAATGGAGAAGTAGTAGATACACGGAGCTGGGCATGGTGGTATACTCAGGAGATTGAGGCAGGAGGATCTCTGCGAGTTTGAGGCCTTCAGGCTACTTTTTTTTTTTTGGTACCAGTAATCGAACTCAGGGCCTTGTGCTTGGCAGGCAGGTGCAGTGCCACTGCACTACATCCCTGGCCCTAGCGGGGCTACTTAACAAGACCCTATCTCATAAAAAAACAAAACAAAACAAGATGCATGAATATCTAGAGAACAGACTCCATAAATCAAACAAAATCAAATAAGCAGGGACCAATCAATCCATCCTTGCTCTAGAAGGTTTTTCTTACAGATTTCTAGTGCTGACATGTACCTAGCTCATGTTAAAATTAGATGTTCCTAGACTTAGACCCCAGTGTAGATAAAACTAAAGTTTTCTACAGAGGTAGTTTTATACTGTTTTACTTCTATTCAGTAAAGACCTATTTTTTCCTTTTTACTTCAACCGCAGAGTACAAGAAGCAGCTTTTTAAGCTGAGAAAGAAGAAAGGCCCTTTGATAAAAGGATTCATCCATGTATATTATGCAGCCACTTTTGGGACAAGTTGCAGCAGGGGTGGAACAGCTGAACATTGCTCGGCAGATAGTGAAACCTGAGAATGAGTTCAGTCAGTTCAGTCTGCAGTAGGGACCAGAATGCTCAGGTAACAGGAATCCTGACCTGCAACACAGCAGGCCGTCCAACAGCCTCACTCAGCCTTGTTCTGGTGCTTACCCTCCTGGTTTCCATAGGTGGCTTCTTCATGCTGGGTCTTTGGCTGGAAGACCCCATCTTGGCCCTGGGGTGAGGGAAGAAGTCCATGAATGTTACTGGCAGCAGCAACATTATGATATTCCAACAAATGGGGCCCAAATGAATATTTCAGCAGGTTAGTTATTTTTATACCACTCCTGGCTGGCAGAAAAAATTGTGTGGCCAAATTTTCATTAGGTGCTGCTTTAATTTACAATGGAATTCTAATTTGAAGCCGGGCATGGTGGCGCACGCTTGTAATCCTAGCACTCAGGAGGCTGAGGCAGGAGGATCGCTGTGAGTTTGAGACCAGCCTGGGCTACATAGTGAGTTCCAGGTCAGTCTCAACTACATAGTGAGACCCTGCAAGAAAGAAAGGAAAGAAAGAAAGAAAGAAAGAAAGAAAGAAAGAAAGAAAGAAAGAAAGAAAGAAAGAAAGAAAGAAAGAAAGAAAGAAAGAAAGAAAGAAAGAAAGAAAGAAAGAAAGAAAGAAAGAAA